AGGAGGAGGAGGGCCGCCCGCCTCAGCCCGCCGTCCTCCGCCAGCTCCGAGGGCGAGGAGCCCCTCAGCCCCTCCGGCTGCTCCCCGCTCTCCCCCGCCTCCCGCCCCAGCTCCCCGAGCGGCGAGGAGGAGGAGCGGGCGGCGGCCTCCCGGAGCCGGCGAGGCGATAGGTAACCCCTGCGTCTGGGCCCAGGTTCGAGCGGGGAGCTCGGGGCCGCCCCTTGCCTGAGGAGCCGGACTCCCCTGCTTGCCTCCCTCCACCTGAGGCCTTGGTTGGGGACGGAAGATTATTTCACATAAACATAGATTGCTTGTATAGATAAGCGCTTTAGGTATCTCGTTCCCTTTTTATGATATCTTGGGAAGTCACAGGTTACGGCAGTCTCTTCTATGGGCAATTGAGTATTTTCGTGGGTTTGTAAAAGATCTGTAAGCTGTTGACCTGAGCCTCAGGGTCTTTGCAAGTTAAAAAGTTACAGCCGTCATCCTTTTAAATGTTCTTAGAGACTAAAGGGCTGTTTTGCCTAGTGTATATAGCTATATCCAGGGTCAGTTTTGTGTGTATGCATTGCACAGTGCTTGTTCCCATGGCTTAATTTCATTCCCTTTTAATTATATGCAAACTTAATATGTCTTCTTTCCCTTGGGATCTCCTCTGCTTGACAGGAGAATAAATAATTCGTATTCCTCCCTTTAAAATAGAAGGGGGAAGAGCAGGGAGTGCCTGTCTCATTCTGGAATGCGACCTTTGCAATGGAGACTTCGCAGGTCTGTGCAGTGACCGATGTTGGATGTAACTAGCAAGACTGAGCTGAGCTAGGAGTGCCGGTGGGGTAAGGGAAGGGCAGCTGAGCTTCACAAGGGTGCAGGGTTCTAGTGTGGTTCTCAGACGTCCATGGAGAACAGGGAAGGAATACGGACCACGTTGAACTTTTCTTAGAAGCATTTCTTGAAAAAGGTGCTAAAAGTCCAGGGAAAGTGTTCAAATGTAGTCAGAAATAGAAGCTTCAGAGTGAAAAGGATGTTAGCCAGTTTATGGTCCCTCCTGTTTCAGGCTTTCTGTTACCTCTCCTTTTTACTTCTCAATAAGCAGTTTTGTTAATGTACCTTGAAGTTCTGTAGCACTCAGTTCGAACTACTACGTGTCTTTGCCGCTTGAGATGCTACTTGAAACAGCTCTCAGTTTTTGGGCCTGTTGCTGCTGTATTCCCTGGCAGTGGTAAGATGCAACTGAAAACGATTTCTGTTAGGGCCTGAGTTGGAACAGTCTCATGAAACTCTGCGGACACAATATATTCTTCACTCATGCAGACACTGCATCTGAATAATACTGCTGCTGTGTTGTAATAAGTGTCTACCAAATGGTCAAATAGCAGCTTCCGTGTATAACTGCCAAGATCTCAAAAGAATCGTAATAAAAAACACTTCTTCTTACACAGCTGCTACCCCCCCACATGTGCACACGCTCTCTCAGAGTCTTTGTTGTTGTTGTCCTCTTGCAACTACACAAAAATTAGCCGGAGGCAGACATTTAACGTGGGAAATGCAATATTTGCAAAAGAGAAAGGCTGAAAACAAGGCCTTGTGAAATGGTGTTAGGCATTTTCATACTTTCATTATGGATCAGTGTTATGTTTGATGGCGTGAGTTAAGTGAATATATGGTAAATGATAATCACAGTGTTTTCTGTTAATCAGACTTCAGGACTGATGCCAAATGTATCTAATTTGATTTAAGATACTTATTTAAAAACAAACGTGCACTTGAGAATGTGGTACTTTAAGATGTCTGTTATTTTAGTTATTCTGAGGAAGGTCATAGCAGTGAACATGCTAGCATTTCGGAAAATGGTCCCGTGAAATTCAAGACCTGTGTGGCTCAAAATACATAACCTGTGTGCTGGGGGGGTGGGGGTGTGCGACCAGTGGCTGGGATGCGCACTGACAAGGACTGGGGTTCCAGCTCCGGTGCGATCTGAGAGCTTTAGGCACAGTACTGAAAAAGAGGGGAAATGTTTCTCCTAACAGCTCTTTATATTGAGGTTGTGTTTGCCTCTGTTTAAACTTCATTTTCTGTTATTTCTTACTTGTATACAATAAGTTTTTAATTTATTACTGTGAATTTTTTTTTTTTGAGAAGTTAACAGCTTAACTTTATAATTAATGATACAAGAAAACACATAGTAAATATTCTTTTTCTTGTTTCATTCCTTCTACTAGTACTTTTTCTCAGGTTGGTCTAATACGTCAGCAATATTCTAGTACAAGGTGCCATAATGCAAATCGTGCACAGCAAAAGAATGTATTGAGGAAGTATCTCTGCCCAAAATGTCAAGTCCAGACAAAGTTGCATTGGCTTCCTGAATTTCAATGCATAATACTTTTATCCTTATCTTTAATAAACTTTCAGAGAGTTATTTTCTAACAAAATGTATTATTATGCATTCTTAAGTTGCATCCCTTATTATATGTACCTGTTTAAAAACTGTCTCTGTTAAATTTTTGGTCTTTAACGCTGTAGCACAAAAGCCCCAGGGTGCAGCAGAAAGTGTGGGACACCGCTGGGCTTAGGAGTGCTTGGCCTGTGCTGCTTCTGTCTGTGCACTCTCTGTGTGTCGGGGTGTCCTGTCAGTCCCGTTGTGCTACGCCTCTGTGGCAGCACAGTATACAGAGGGTTGGGGGCTTATTCTGTGTGGGGAAAACAACCCTCTTCCAGGTTAGTTTCAGTGTGAATCAGTTCCCCTGGACTCGTCACGGCTTGACCAGCGAACGGTTGTGTTATCCACACACGTGGATAACAACAATGGAGAAGAGTAGGACAAAACTCCTTAGCACTGACACTGTCCCCAAATGCTTTGTATCACAGAAATATATTCTAAAGATTACTGGGATGTAAAATGTTTTGCAACAGAGTATTGCTGTTCCCTGCGAATACATAATATTTTTGTGTTGATAAAAGCCAGATATCTTATGCTTAAAAGATTTATTTCAGGAGCATTAACATCATACGCTTGTTTGGATGCCTCTTCTGTAGCTTAAATTCAGCAAAGAGAATTACTCACTGTAGTGAAGTATGTACGTAGATAGGTATTTCCGGAGCCCATAAGTCCATATAAAATACTGAAGTGAAATCTAGTTTCACTGTTCTGTTGTTAAGAAAAAATTCTGTATAAGACACAAGAAATCTTACAAAGAAATCTATTGGCGTGTTTTCAATTTCCATTGACTTGGAGCCTAATATACTGTTTTACTTATGAGACAGTACATGTATAGAATATTATAAAAGATATTTCTGGCCTGGGGCTAGGATTGCTGCATTATTCATAAGTAAAGTTGTTATGAGTGAGTTATGCAAGGTATCTTATTAAAACTCTAATAGAACCTTGTATAATATCATCAAGTATTGTATGTAAGCCATATTTCGTAAGTGTGTTTCCTCTTGTCCTGATTTCAGCTGGGATAGAGTTAATTTTCTTCCTAGTAGCTGGTATAGTGCTGTGTTTTGGATTTAGGATGAGAATAATGTTGATAACACACGGATGGTTTAGCTGTTGCTAAGTAGTGCTTACACCAGTCAAGGACTTTTCAGCTTCCCATGCTCTGCCTGGTGCACAAGCAGCTGGGAGGAGGCACAGCCAGGACAGCTGACCCAGACTGGCCCCAGGGCTATTCCATACCCTATGACGTCATGCCCAGTATAGAAACTGGGGGAGTTGGCCCGGAGGGCAGCAATCACTGCTCGGGGACGGGCTGGGCATTGGTCGGCTGGTGGTGAGCAATTGCATTGTGCATTGCTTGCTTTGTATTATTATTGTATTATTATTATATTATTATTATTATTGCTACTATTACTACTATTCCATGTTATTTTTCTTCAATTATTAACCTGTTCTTATCTCAACACACGAGTTTTCTCACTTTTACCCTTCCAATTCTGGCCCCCATCCCACCGGGAAGGGGAGTGTGAGCGAGCGGCTGTGTGGTGCTTAGTTGCTGGCTGGGGTTAAACCACAACACCTCTGAAAGCTTTTTAAGCTGGAAAACTTTACCTATTAGAGTGAATGGATTCTTAATGCTGAGGTTGCTTGATCTCATGAATCCAATTCTCTATAGGACTTGAAAGAAGAAAAAATATTCTTTATTATCCTTTCCTTGTGCTAAAGGGCACTTGATACCTGGAGCCTCTCTGTGACCGAGGACAGGATGTTAATGTTAAATATCTGATTTACCTTGGTTTCCATATGTGAGAAGGAAGGTGACACTTCTCTGTTTCTGGTGTTAGTTCTTGTTTAGTTCATAAAAGGTAATGCTTGAATCTGTTCCACGATTTGGAACAGGGGGAAAAAAAATCACTAATAAGCTAGAATTTAATGAGTAGAACATAAGGGGGGATGGTCAGAGGTGCACTATAAATGCCATTTATCCATTCTGGAGATTACTAAGCAAGTAGAAAAATGATGTCATTGTCACAACATGCCATAAAAGAAATGTCATTTTTCAAGGTAGTAGCACTGCTTAACTTTTCAATCAAATATATTACAGATAATATTCTTCTACATTCTCTTTCAGGAAGGCTGAAGACTCTGAAATAGCAGGGAGGAAAAAAGAGTCACCTTTGAAAGATACTCTTTCACCATGGGAAGAATGGTTCATTGGCAAAGAGAAGGAACTACGTGCCCGCTTACAAGCTAGAGCTGCAGAGGTGAATACATCCAATTGGCTTGATGTTAAGTCTGGTAGAAGATAGCAAGCAGAGGATTTTTTTTTTCTTTTGGTTATGGAAACACAAGTAGTTTTGTCCATTATTTTTTAGTGTCTTGGGCCTCTATAGTGTTTGTGTTTTTGACGATGCTGACATGATTCATGCTCTGTGCATTCTCTTTTGCTAAATCCTATGCTTCATTGAAGTGGTGCTGTATAATATTTTGCTTATCCAGTTGTCAGGTAATGGTTGAAGTTTAAAGGATTAAAACATATTTATATAATTGGTGCCTTGATTTCCATCATGGGTACATACACCTGCATGTAGGTAATAAAGCACGACAGGGCGTGTGCTGGGTGTAAGTATGCCAAGCTACTTGGTTAGATATGAGGCACAGTGTTGTTACCCATTTAGTGTGTAATTATGCAACTGTTTGGTGTCCTTTCCCAGGATAGGATTCCCTGTCCCAGCATTTTTTTTTTTCCCTCCTTCAATCTTTTGCCCCCTTGCAGATGAACAGTTCTTGAATACTGGAGCAGAATTAAGTGAGAGTGCTATATCTTTTCTTGATTAATATGTGTGGTGGGTTGACCTTGGCTGGATGCCAGGTGCCCATGAAAGCCTCTATCAGTCCCCCTCCTCAACTGGACAGGGGGGAGAAAAGGCTCATAGGTCGAGATAAGGACAGGGAGAGATCACTCACCAATTACCATCATGGGGAAAACAGGCTCGACTTGGGGAAATGAGTTTAATTTATTACCAATCAAATCAGAATAGGATAATGAGAAAATAAGAACTAAATCTTAAAACACTTCCCCTTACCCTTCCCTTCTTCCCAGGCTAAACTTTTCTCCCAATTTTCTCTACCTCTTTCCCACCAGTGATGCAAGGGGATGAGGAATAGGGGTTGCGGTCAGTTCATCACACGCTGTCTCTGCCGCTCCTTCCTCCTCAGGGGGAGGACTCCTCATGCTCTTCCCCTGCTCCAGCGTGGAGTCTCTCCTATGGCACACAGTCCTGCATGAACTTCTCCAACATGAGTCCTTCCCACGGGCTGCAGTTCTTCACGAACTGCTCCAGCGTGGGTCACTTCTGCGGGGTGCAGTCCTTCAGATTGCTCCAGTGTGCAGTCCTGCCAGCAAACCTGCTCCAGTGTGGGCTCCTCTCCCCACAGGTCTGCAGGTCCTGCCACGAGCCTGTTCCAGTGTGGGCTTCCCACGGGGTCACAGCCTCCTTCAGGCATTCCCCTGCTCTGGTGTGGGGTCCTCCATGGGCTGCAGGTGGAGATCTGCTCCAGCATGGACCTCCATGGGCTGCAGGGGACAGCCTGCCTCACCGTGGTCTTTCCCAGGGGCTGCAGGGGAATCTCTGCTCTGGCACCTGGAGCACCTCCTCCCCCTCCTTCTTCACTGACCTTGGTGACTGCAGAGTTATTTCTCTCACATATTCTCGCTCCTCTCTCCAGCTGCAGTTGCACAGTTGTTTCCACCCCCACACCCAAATATGTTATCCCAGAGGTGCTACCACCATTGCTGACAGGCTTGGCCTTGACCAGTGGCAGGGTCCGTCTTGGAGTCAGGTGGCATTGGCTCTATTGGACATGGGGGAAGCTTCTAGCAGCTTCTCACAGAAGCCACCCCTGTAGCCCCCCCACTACCAAAACCTGGCCCCACAAACCCAATACAATATGTTTGTAGTTGCAGTTGATTAAATGATACTGTTTTTTAAAGCCAAATTGGAAGTATTGGGTAGTGGTTAGAACAAAGTTAGATCATTTCTCACTTTAGTTACTGATTTACTATTTGACCTTGAGCAATGTCCTAACCTTTCTGTGATTCACTTTATCTGTAAAGTGAATATAACATACAGCAGTTTTATGTGGGCTACCTCATGTTGTTTATAAAACACCCGCCACTGGAAGGTTCTGGAACAGTCTTTTAGAGGTCAGCATAACACCAAAATAGTTTAAGCTTGAGGAGTATGTTCTGATCCATTAATATTCACCACATGTTTCATGACTTCCCCTTTCAATTCCAGTTTGATAATTGTCTCTCCCTATTTTGATTTTTAAGTACAAAAAACAAGCCAAAATAATTTCTGGTGTCATGTAGAAAATGTGGTTTGTGTATGGACTTCTCATGTGGTCTTGATGAGGAACCAAAGCAATTTATTCTTGTGTATCACACAATAGCATTTATACAGTACTAAATGTAATCTAGAAGGTGTGTCTCAACTATATATTAAGAGCAGTCATGAGGCAAGCATTACTTAAAGCAGTGTAAAAATCGGTAGAATAGGTAAATGTTTTATTTTTAATTTGTAAGATTTTGAAAACATTAGATGTTAAACTGCAGCGTAGGCAACTCGGATAGCTTATATCAGGGGAAAAAATACAATCAACCTTTCTGTAAGATGCCAGAAGAGAACAAAGTATGTGATCGTGATATAAAAATGTATTACATTTGCATATAAAAAGTATTCTAAACTGATATCCTAAGAAACAACTGTGAAGTCCCAGATCTTTTGCTGACAGCAGCACCGAGTCCGCCCTGAATGTCGGAAATGTGGGTAAACGTTTGGAGTGGATGGGGTCTTCTAAGGTACTTACAGTGCCGTCACCTTTTACAGAAACCAGGATCCCTGCAATATAGATGTCTTAGAACTCAAAGGAGGTGTTAGTTGCTGTAACTTTGCCTCAGTACAGCAACAACTATATTTTCAAACTATGTCTGTGTTGTGTTTTCTTTGAGTTCTCTGTAGGCTCCTATTTTTTCTTGATGTCTTACTAAATTGAAATTCAATGTCCTAAGAAGAGGGGGTTCTCTTTGAAACTGACTGCAGTGTAGGGACCATAAGATCAGTTTCATGGAAATAATTCCATCTATCTATGAAGGTGTGAATTTTCATTGAAAAACAGCACTTTGTGCTAATGCTACTGTTAGAGAAGCTGGACATCTCAAATTGTCATCTTAGTCATGTTTTTTCTTTATCAGTTCATTTCCTTGGAGAGATATAAGTGATTGCATATATACTGTATGTCCTGTAAAGATACTTTGGAATTTCTTCTCTCACCTTCAGAATAAAGCTCCTGTTTCAAAGTTTGCTAAAATCTGTAATAATTTTGTCTTTAGTAAGTTTAGGGTTAAGCCCTAAGCTTTCTGTAGTTCTGGTACTAAAAATCACAAGTGAGTAATATTTCACTTAGCTTTTGATGCCTTACTGAATGCAGAGCAGTACACCATGTAAATTTTAAGTATTGTAGAAAGGTACTGCTGCAAATTAAGATTCCACTGACTGAAAGGACATTTGAAGAAGCTGAGTGATTTGTTATGTTGAATAGTTTCCAAAGCCTAATTAAAATATGCATTTCCAGTTCATATTCTAAAAGTTACACATTTCCATTGATTGTATTTCATAATATTTCTGTGTTGACTGTCGTCTGTCTTTTCCAAAATCTTAATGAAGGAAAAATTTCAAAATCTAATGCTTACATTTTTGTAAGCATCTAATGCATACTATTTCCAGTATTGAGTGTATTGGTGTAGGTGGTCACCATAGATTGAAGATGTATACTTTTTCTTTAATTAGGAAATGAATATACAGCTTGAGAAGATGAAGCAAAAGCAAGAATGTGAAAGGAGGAAAAGGATAGCTGAAGAGAAGCACAAGGAATGGGTCCAAAAAAAAAGAGAAGAGGTAAATATTGCTTTGGCTGCAAGTATTCTAGCACATACCATGCTTAAGTAAACCTATGTAAAATTTACTTAGCCTGCTTGGACAACTATGTTTTTAGTTTGCTGAATGAATGACTGTTTTAATTGAAAATTATAAAACCATGCTAGCAGAGTTAAACATTTTTCCAAGACTGATTTCTTTTTTTTTTTTTTTTTCCCCGTAAGGTATAAAGAGATTTGTTTTCTGAGTAGTCAGATAACGGACAATTGGTCTGCATCTTGTGCAGCAGCCTTTTACTTATAGCTGGGGTTCTGGTCTTCAGTATACCCTACTCTGTCTGACTTCCTAGGTTCAGTGCCCAAGCATTTTGGGTAAAGTGTATGTCTTGACTGTCTGCATGTCTTGTACACCAAGTAGAGCCAGAAGAAGGATTTAGTTAAGCACCATTGTGGACAGGCAAATAGTATGGTAGAGTTTAGAGGGATAATTGAGGTGTGAGGCCAGATTCAGGAAATTCTTCGTAGACCACAGTTAGCAATTGGGAATTCCTTTATCCAAAAAGTCATTTCTGAGTGGGATCAAAAAATTTTTTAAGTTCTTCTGAGAGGCGTGCCTAAGTCCAGGGTCAGAAGCAGACAGAATCCTGATCTCAATGGGGCACTGTACAGCTCTGTGTCACACAAAGCAAGCATGTGTACTGGGTGGCAAAAATGGGAACGTTTGGGAGGCTTGGGCTTGTTCAGCCCCTGGTAGTTCATGGGCAAATGCGTTCATTGTCTTACAGTGTGTAGCAATACTAGTTGCTTACCGTTCTGTACTTCTGGTTCTGAATAAAATCAGATGAAAATTGATTAAAAATATCACAATGGCACTAGCTGACCTAGATATCCGACCTCAGACATTTGTTTTCACTGTTTCAGAACTCCTTTTTCAGACTCAGTCTAGAACCACTAGAATAACCTGTGTTTGGATCTAACCTAATGACTCTTAGTCTCAGTGCTGACTGGGTGATTGGCATAAACCCACCCCAAAACCAATCCTGCTTTAAGCATTTATTATGATGTAGAAAGGATCCTTCCTTATTGAAGTACACAGCAAAAAGTAGAAGATTTATTATTCAGCACAAACAATGCCATTTTCCTCTTCTAAAATGCAAATTAAATTATAGGTGTCTGTAACTAGTCATTGGCTTGAAAGAGTTTGGGCTGCCTGTTAAAATTGTTTACAGTTGAAAACAGTGAAAGTTCTCGTTCTCTCTCCCCCCTACACCCGCCCCCACCTCCCCAGCTTCTGTAAACCTCTACCTGTTTGGGTCCTCCTTGGACCTTTGTGGATTTACTGATTAACAACTTCTTATCTATTGTCAATGGGAACAGGAGGTCTTTTTTATGGTAATTACATCAGCCCAGAGGACAGGGGAAAAAACATATTTGCGTCTGGACTTTATCATGTTATATTTCGGAAGGATAAGGTCATCCTTAGGCCATGTCCCAAGCTTTTACCAAAAGTAATCTGATTTTCATTTAAATCAGATGATTCATTGGCTAGTCTTTTCTGTAAACCACACTCAAATCAAGAACAAACCGAACTTAAAAGCTTAGCTGTCTTTATGATATTAACATTTGTGCTGCATAGACCTTACCACTTCAAGTTTCGATAAGATTATTTGTGGATCTGGACACAGACTGAAGGATAAATATGTCAATTTAGTGACTAAGAAGGTGTTTAAAATTGCGTGAAGATTTCACATGAAGTTGAAGGTTAGATTCATGAGCACAGACAGTTGCTATGATTTTCTTGGGGACCATGTATACATCACATATTTGGGAAAGCTCACTTCATTTCCTCCTAGAAGCATCAAAAGGTGCTTCTTGAGGTAAAACTCACAGTATTCTTCACTGAAATATGCATTAAGCACTCACCTTTTTCATATCCAATTACTGATTCTGAGCCCCTGTGTACAGACTGCAGAAAATGCTTTACTTGACAGGAGGCAGGACTTTTGGGGATGTTACCTCTAGGATCTCCACAAGTCTGTATCCTTTCCCACTGCTGAATACTGTACTGACGAAGGAAGTAAGGGATGGTTGAGCGTACATGAAACTTTTTCCTTCATCTTGAGCATCCAGCACCAGGAGACACTGCTTCAAAAGTCTTCGTACCGTGAATATGAGAGACACTTATGTCAGAAGTAGAATGTTTGTATGCGCATAAAAGAATTTTGCTGTTTTTCCATATGCCAAGCCAGTTTTCTTGCATTTTGTTGCATGGCAATGTCAGTTGTGATGCTCTGACTGTTAAATATAGTCCTTTAGGGTCAGGTTAGGAAGCAAAATGTGAGCACTATTTTTGATCATTGGCAGTTTCGGTTTTTTATTGTTTAATACATATTTAAAACTATATGCTGTGAAGTTTTTTATGCTTCCAATCATTTTGCATAAACTATTTTTGAAAATAAAGGAATCATAACCACTTAATATTCTTCTATCTAAATAGCTTTTGTGATTTTAAAGGTTGTAAATGAACTAGAAGTAATGTATTGAAATATGAGCTATCAAAGAACATTCTAAGTTGTGAAATATGTTTATGCAAATATGGCAGAATTTTGCAGCTCACTAGGAGTTAAAGGCTTAATAAAATCAACTGTCAGGCGCTATCCTGGTTCTACTAATACCTTTACAGTTTTCAGTAAGATACTAGATCTCTGCTGGACAAAAATAGTCTTACTTTCTCTCTCTTCTAAGGCTGAATCATTTGTGGGCAAACAGTAAATTGTCTGTTTGACTTGTTTTGTTTCAGATATAATAAAGCTCTGTTTTTTAACAAGTCACAGGAATATCAATCAAAATATTTTAACTCTAAAATATCTTCAAACATGCTTTTGATTCCAGAAGAAAATTTGCTTGAACCCAACATGATTTTGTATGTAACTAAAACTTTAATTTTGAGTTACTGTTAGATTTAGTGGTAAAAATGAGGTGGGCATGATTATAAATGCTGAGCAAGCAAAGTTGGTGTTCAGTGTCATGTTCTCATTATTAAAGTAGCCTTGATTTGAGTGGTATGCAGAACTGGACATAGATGAGCAAAGCCATTAGAATCTGTCTTAATCTTTTTGGAATGTTAAAATATTTGATTGTTAATTGCTATATTTAGACTCCAGTTTGGTAAGGAGCTCTGTGTAGGCAACTCATAGCTGAACTGTGGAGTTTAAAAAGAAAGGAATTGACGTCCTCGATCCCCATCTCATCATAGAACTAAATCTTGAATAGGTATTGAAAACTAACTGCTGTTTCATTTCTTCGGGTTAGAATTAATGCTTGTGAAAGTTTATTTTCTCTGTATCTGTTCATTCTGGTGCTTTATGTGTTTTTTCCTTTTTGGGCCAAGAAAGGACCCAATGGAATGAAGTTTTTTATTGAAAATAAAGCCAAGAGGTAAAGGATGTCTGCCCCTCCTCTTCCTCTTGTGAGGAAGCTGTAGACTGCAATGAGGTCTCCCCTCAGTCTCCTCTTCTCCAGGCTGAACAGACCAAGTGACTTCAGCCATTCTTCATACGGCTTCCCCTCTAAACCCTTCACCATCTTCGTGGCTCTACTCTGGACACTCTCTAGTACCTTTGTATCCTTTTTGTACTGTGGCACCCAAAACTGCACACAGTGCTCAAGATGAGGCCGCACCAGTTCGGAGTAGAGCGGGACCGTCACCTCCCTCGACCGGCTGGCAATACAGTGCTTGATGCACCCCAGGACATGGTTAGCTCTCCTGGCTGCCAGGGCACGCTGTTGGCTCATGTTCAACTTGCCGTCAACCAGAACCCCCAGATCCCTCTCCATGGGGCTGCTCTCCAGCCTCTTGTTCCCCAGTCTGTAGGTACATCCAGGGCTGCCCTGCCCCAGGTGCAAAATCCAGCACTTGCCCTTATTAAACTTCATACGGCTGGTGATTGCCCAGCTCTCTAATTTGTCCAGATCTCTCTGCAGGGCCTCTCTGCCCTCGAGAGTGTCAATGGCTTCTCTCAGTTTTGTGTCATCAGCAAACTTAGTAGTCCTTCAAGTCCTGCATCCAAGTAATTTATGAAGATATTAACTTAACGACTTACTTCCTAATGTTTTGCCATAGAATAGGAAGCCGCTTGTTGACAGTAGCAAGTTTTTTTCTTTTCCTGTTTTACATGAACTTCTGATTCTGAGATGTGGAGTCTCTTTCATTCCTATCAACAGCTATGGGATTGAACACTTAAGTAAGGTATATGTAATTGCTGAATTACTGATTAATTGCCTCCAAAGCAAAGTACCAAAGGCTTTGAGAAATGCATTGTGGATGCATAAACTGTGAAGTGTCTGTAAACTGATGTCACCGTTTAATTCTTTAGAACATTATCATAACAGTCAGAACCTCTTATGAATTAATGCTGAATAGAATATTAGGATTAAAAGTCAGACCTGATGACAATAGTTTTTTGATTAAATATTTAAAAAATTAACACTGACTCAGTGCACTCTACGCTCTATTTAATATGGTATCTTCCAATCATATTTAATCCACCTTTATTGACTCTGCAAAGCTAGTTCATTCTTAGAATGCCAATAAAATATGAATTTAGAAATATATAGAGTATTCAATTCATGTATATGCATATGTGTACATATAAATATTTATATTATATATTGTGGGTTAGGCCCAGCCGGCAGCTAAGCCCCACACAGCTGCTCGCTCACTCCCCCACAGTGGGATGGGGGAGAGAATCGGAAGGGTAAAAGTGATAAAACTCATGAGCTGAGATAAAGACAGTTTAATAAGTAAAGAAAAGCTGTGCGCGTAGGCAAAGCAAAATAAGGAATTCATTCACAACTTCCCATCAGCAAGCAGGTGTTCAGCCTTTTCCAGAAAGCAGGGCTTCATCTCCCAGAATGGTTACTTGGGGAAACAAATGCTATAACTCCTAATGTCCCCCCCCTTCCTCCTTTCCCCCAGAAGAAAATTAACGCCATCCCAGCCAAAAAACAGTACATATATGG